TCATCCATACTCACCCTCGACGGTCCTGGGGCCCAGCGAGGGCCCGCGGAGGCCGAGAGAGGCCACAAGCCGCCCGTCTCGGCGGCGGGCATTGCACGCGTTCTCCCGGGAGCCTTGTCGAAGACATGGATCATCGGCACCCCTGGATACTAGAGGCCTCCTTGATGGGGTCCCAGTAGATGGGGTCGGAGGATCGCATCGCCGAGCCATCGGCGACGTCGGCGATGCGGCGCGCGATCCTCCGACCCCATCTGCTCGGACCCCATCCGGCACATGCACTGATCTCCCCTGGGTTCCTCGCCCCTGTCGTCGCCTCTGTCGCCTCGTGGTCTCTCCCGACGCCAACATTGAAGGGGCCCTGGGACACACAAATAAATACACACAAATAAAAAGATTCCCCATATTTTCTCATATTTGGGGGGTTTTTGTCTTCCCCCCCACTTCCCATATGTTCCCATATTTTCTGGGGAATCGACGATTAATTGTGTCTGTGTGTTTCTTTCCCTTCTGAAACATGTCTGGAGCCGACCGTCGCACGACCATCGGCCGCCGCCGGCGCGCGCCGCGTGCGAGCGCTGGGCGGCCGGGCGCCGGCCGCCGGGCGGCCAGCTGGCGCGCGCTGGGGGAGCGGCACGGCGGGCACAGCAGCGCTCTCTGCGGCGGCGGGCGGCCTGGCCGACGGGTCGCCGTCGCCGTCGCCTCTCCCAGGCCTGGCGTGTGAAAAATGCGTTTTGGGTAGAACGTAAGTTTCTCGTCGTTCTCGGCCTCTGGCGGCCCTCGCCGGGTCCCAGCACCGTCCAAAGACAGCTCGGGATGAAATCGCTGGACCCCCCTCCTGCCCCCCGCCCTCCTCCCCCTTGTCCCCCCGCCTCCTCCTCCTCCTCCTCCTCCTCCTCCTCCTCCTCCTCCTCCTCCTCCTCCTCCGCCTCCTCCTCACGGGGACCCCGCATCGAAAAGGTCAAGGCATCGGATCTCTGGGTTGTCGCCGTCGGCGCTGTCGCCCTCCGCGAGCGCCCGCCAATCGCACTCGCCGTTGGGGGCGGCACCGCGCTCGTCGTGAGCCGGCACACCCTCCCTGGAGGAGGAGGAGGAGGAGGAGGAGGAGGAGGAGGAGGAGGAGAGGAGGAGGAGGAGGAGGAAGAGGAGGGAGGAGGAGGAGGAGGAGGAGGAGGAGGAGGAGGAGAGGAGGAGGAGGAGGAGGAGGAGGAGGAGGAGGAGGAGGAAGACAAAGAGGAGAAGGAGGAGAAGGAGGAAGAGGAGGAGGAGGAGGAGGAGGAATGCTATGGGAGTGATATGAGAGAGGACAAATGTCCGAAAGGCTCCCCAGGGTGGCGCGGCTGCTGCCACTTCCGCCACCTGGGAGCCACCTTCACGCGACTCACGACCGACCTACGGATGAGGTTACTCGGAGTCTCCTGACAAAAACTTCCCTCTCAAACTCCTCCCCTCCCGCAGCAGCTGGCGGATCGGGGGACTGAGCAACTTGCCGAGACGCCCGTCGTTACAGCTGCTGCCATGGCTCGCCTCCCCGGGCGTAGCCACGGGTTCGAGCCAGCTGGGAGGGCGGCGAGAGAGAGAGAGAGGGGGCCTCGGCACAATCGCACGTGGGCCACCCGACGACATGCTTCTCTCACGATCGCGTGCCGCCATAGCTTCCACGACGGCCTTCGGGGGCCCCTCTCCTGGGAAAACACCCTTCCGAATTCTACTGGGATTATCTGCCCCTTTGGGGGTCATTCCCTCACAGCGTATCTTAATGTGCCTATCGTCTACTGTCGCGAAGCGACCGCACTTGCTGCAGGCATACATGAAACACTTGTCTACGTATGACATCGCGTGAATTACGTGAAACTCAAGCGTTCCCGCCGCAAACGAAGGGGAAGCCTGCTGCACTTCAGGGGACCTGAATCCCTCTGGGATAGCCCTGCCTGCACAAGGTGTGGCCGCGAATTTGAATAGCTTGGATCCTGGCACCACCTGATCACACTCCGAACACCTCCACCCCGCACACGACTTCCCTCACTGGTGGTCCGACTCCCTGACTGCTCTGGAATACATGTTGCAAGGCGGCCGCTTGATCACAGCCTCCCTCTCGCCTCTGACTTGGGTCTCAGCGCTAGCCGAGTCTGCTAAAGCCCGCCTGGCGCGCCGTCGCACCAGGCTGGCGATCGCATCGATTCGACCCGTCCGAGGTGCATCCCCGACCGGCCCGAACTCCCACGCCAGCCCCCCCCCCCAACCGAAATATCCGCTACCGCATTACCTGCGGCCATCTCCAGCTGCAGGTCGGACACCAGCAGCTCCAGGGATTCGTCGGTGCAAGAGGGTGCCCACTGCACTTCGACAGTGGCGGTGTCTGGCCTACTACTCCAAGCTACGCGGGCCCTGGTCCACAAATCTCCGCTGGCACCTGTGGGATTGGGGAAACCCATCTTACGGCGCCACGTCCTCTCAACAGACAAATGATCAGTAACGAACAGGAACGATTCGGGCACCTCCTCTAGCGCAATGGAACAGGCCTGCATATCTGAGCGTGCGACGGTGAGGCGGGAGCAAAGGAGAGGTCTAGAAACAGCAGTTTGAACCTTCCACTCTCCCTGGGGCCAGCACAGAGCGCAGATCGCCGAACCGCTACGTCTCCGCCTGGGGTCCTCCGAAAATCGACCCCCCGACCATAGTTCAACGGTTCGGGCTCAGCGTTGCATCTGCGGCAGAACTCTGCATGGAGCATCGAGCATCGCATCCTTCTTCCCTACAGTGGACCCACGGCCACTGGCCGCCAGCGACGACGGCCACGTTGAGCGCCAGCTGGTCGAGCACCCCGTTGCGCTCGAACCTTCTCTGCTCCCTGACGATGGGCCACAGGTCTCCGCCCTCGTCCAGGTTCTCGCCGCACCCATGCCGGGTCTCTGCCGTCCACAGGTCACGCCTCTTGTCCGCCCCGAAGTCGCCCAGCAGCTCCTGGAAGCAGCCCGTCTCGATGAAGGCTCCATCCTCCGTCGACGGCAGCTCCCGCAACTCCATCTCTCATGGCCCAGGTCGACGCCAATTCGTAGCCGCAGCGGGTATCCATCCTACATCCATCAGCTTCGCTATGAGGGCCCCTGTGGGACCTCGTACCGCACGCCACCTAGCTTGTCCCAACGGGTATAGGTTGGCCTTGATGTTTGGCCAAGCCTTCTCGACCCTCTTGTGGATGTGAGCGAATCTCTGCCACGTACCTACCCGTTCTCGCAGCACTCCAAGACGCAAATCCACCGTTGGGTCTCTGAGGCCCGCCTCCATGACCAGGGTCGTGGCAAGACATCCGCCACCTGCAGCGCCCCCCAAAACCTTTCCAGCCTGGCGCCTGAGCATGGTGATGTCGTGCTTCGACACGCCGAAGGTCTGCTGCCCGCAGATCGCCTGCGGGGGGCGCCTGCGTTGTAGAGACCCTTGGACTCATTCTTGAGTGCTGCAATCCTTCGAACTTTATGTATCTTAGCGCACTTTCGCCGTGCTTTGACATGCATCTGCTTGCCCTTCGCGGTGGCTCTTTTCCTTCCGCCGGAGGTGTCCAGCCCCAAGTCCACGGCCACCCCACTGGCTTTAGCTGGCATGCCCATCCGTCGGAGTCGCCTGGCCACTTCCTCGACTGCCTTCAGGTCGGAGCCGGTCACCGTGGTCTTGTCCAGGATGGTCACCCTCTGCTGCGCCAACCCAGTGCGCAATCCTGAAGTAACCTGCACCAGCTGGTCGCTCACCACGTTCTCGTCGCCTTCGCACCTCACCACCGCGTCGCCGACGAACGCCCACAAGCTTGCCATCGGCGATCTGATATGAAAACCTCGAGCGCTGGATGAAGGAACAGCTCCGCTAGGGTCACGCCTCGAGTCGGACCTGCCGCCAATGAACGCGTGGGCCATATCACCTCGCTGATGACTGACCGCTCCTGCATGTACTCCGGCCCCAAGAATATGACCACCTCTAACCCAACAGCCACCGCTGGGAATCCTGCCGCAACACCGTGCCGTAGAACTTCTCGATGTCCAGTAACAGTATCATCGCGGATGATCCTATCTCAGCCCCTGGTTCGTCCAAGAAGGCTCGTCATAAACCTGCTCGGAGCGCAGAGCTTCCATTGATCGCCGCGCCCCAATGGTCTGAGAGCCCAGCACTCCACATATCGCAAACACCTCCACGCGCTCTAGACCGCAATTTGACTGGAAATGGTGGAATATCCAGAACCCGACCTCTTCGAGCAGGTCCTGGTTTGGCCACCATAGCACATTTGGTTGCCGATATCTGTCTTGGCCATGTAAACTGCCTCTCACTGTCTCAAATAATATCCTGCAGCTCCTGCTTAGCCCCCGCGGGGAGCCTACCGATGTCCGCGGGGCCCAAGTGGTCCAGACCCTCGGCATGTATGTCGAAGTTGCTGGCAAGGCCCCGTCCAGCGCCCCCCTGTCGATCGCTTCCAAATCTTCGGTCAACGCCCATATCCTGGTGCTCTCCAGCTGCTCGGTGATGCGCTTCTTCTCGTCCACGGGGCCCGGCCCCATGTGCCCCCACTTCTCAATCTTCGCGCTCATGATGATGGTCGGGTCAGCTGTCGCGAAATCTGAATCAATAGCCATCTCGAACCTGGGCGCCTCGTTCGCTTTCACGCGTCTGCGCAACATGCCCGCCTTGGTCTGCCACGATTTCGCCGCCCACGTCGCGAAATGATTCCTTGCCGTCGCCATCGATCTGGACGATGCCAATGCCAAATGCTTCTCTGTCTGTTCCACAAGGTTCGCCAGCTGACCCTCGTCCAACTCTATAATGCCTCCAGCCACCTCAAAGTACACGTCTCTGTTGGCGATCGTCACGTGCTTGTTGAACGCGTCCTTGTGGGATATGGTGCTGATCACCTCCAGCTGCTCCCTGGCCCTCATGATGCACATCCTCTGCTGCTTGCCATCAGCACCGTTGACGACCAACGATTGGTATCTTATCATATCCGCTGTCAGGGTACTACACTCTTCTGCGGGTAAATACCGCATGCGCGCTCGCCCGGCGCAGGCTTGGCACGTGCCCATCTGACTCCAAATCATACCGCTCGCCCCGCACGCGGGGCCGCCCCCTGCTCGTTCATCTTCTCGGCCACGAGGATCGACTCCTCCACCCTGGCGACCCAGGCGCCGCACTTCTCGGTCAGCCGGTGCTCGTGCCTCTCGCGCTGCTCGCTCCCGACGATCATCTCGTCGCCGATGGCGCGCATCTCCTCCGCGAGCTCCGTCTCGTGACCCTTCGCGCTGGCCTTCTCCCAGATCTCGCCCGCGATGGCGTAGGCCTTCATGTACTCCAGCTCGCCCTGGAGCTCGGCGCCCTCCTCGGGGAACATCGCAGCCTCCTCGCAGGCCTCCTGTAAGTGTTGCTCCATCGCATCCCTCACTCTCTACCGCGCAGCCTACTTCTTCTTGCTCGCGGTGGACTTGGGGCCCACAGCCCTGCGCGGTCTAGCCCGGCATGGGAGAGCCTTCGGGATCTCGAGCTGCCGATGCCACCAATCATGCTTGGCGCCCTTGATCCCCAGCTTCAGGCCGCAGTGGGTACGCCATGGCACACGCCCTTCTGCCACAAACTTCAGCTTGGTCGCGAAGTCCACTCTCGCGACGCCGCACTCTATGAGGCTGCCTCTGCCCTTGTCACAGGTGGCCCCGACGTCTGGCCTGATCACAGCGCCGCCAAGCCTGCCTGGGAGCCCAGCCCTCTCCATTCGATCTGCTGGCATGTCCCAGTCCGTGAGGACCAACCATGGGTCCGTGAGAGATTTGATGAATCCTGACAAGGATCGAATTCCGTGGTAATTCGGCCCTATAGAACCTCCGCCTGGCACGAGGTACGCCGCGATCAGCACGACGATGCCCGAACGCGCGCGCACGTCGAGCGCCGCGAAGCCCTTGAACGGGTCGACCTCTCCATTGTCCAGACTCCTGCCTTTGCACGCCAGGTAAGTCCTGGCCAATATAATCACGCCGCCCGCGGTATATTTCCCCGAGCGCTTTGTGGCCACTGCAGCCGCGCCCATCATCCGCCAGCCGTCTCGCGCTCCTTCCTCTCGCGCTGTCTCCAGCTTCGCGCTGTCCACGCGGGTCGCGCACAGCATGATAACGTCCTTGCCCCCCCCCCCCTCCCCAGCCTCCGCGATGCACTCGTGGGCTTTAATCCTCCCCCGTCGTGATATTTGAGAAGAAGATGCTGAAGATCAGGCCCAGAACCATCATGGGCCGCCCCTTCGCCGCCGAGGACCGCGTTCTCGCGCGGGGTGGCTGCTGCTTTGCCAACGATCCTGCTCTTCGCCGCCTGCGCCTTCTGCTCGGATTGCCTCTTGATATTGTCGACCACCTCCTTCCGCTCACGCTGCTGCTCCTCTGTGAGAGGCGCCAGGACCTGGGCCGCCGAAGACGACGCCGACCCCGTGGCGCCAGTCGTTACCGCCGAGTCCGCATGAGGTACAGGATCCACAGCTTTCCCGTCTGCCGCCTTACGCTTCCTCTTGGCCTGCGTGCACAAGCTGGCTACCTGCTGCTTGAACTGATTAAACAGTCGGTACTGGTCCGCCGCCATCTGGAGCAGTTTGCCCAGCACCTCCATGCCGTGCTTTAACTTATCGAGTTTCGTTTTAGCATCCTCCCCATAGTCATCGATGTCGTCGAATGTGTCGCCGACGTCTGGTGCATGCCACTCCGCATGCTGAACAGGAGGTTGGCAAGCCGTCTCCGTCTTGTACGCCGCCAGCGCTCGCTTGTGCTCCAGCATCACATCAGCAGCGTCCTCGATCGCCTTCTCGTTCTCCGCGCGCTAGACTTTGATACGATCCTCCGCCTTCGAGGGTTCCTTCTTCGAGGCATGCGCCGCTGCCGCCTGCACCTGCGACTGCACCGCCTTGAAGGGCCCCAGGTCCAGCTGCGGAGCGCCGTGGGCCGACAAGGCCTCGACCTTCGCCAGCATCTCGCTGAGTTCCGCCAGCGGGCCATGAGCCTTCGGCTTGTGCCAGGGAGACCCCTTGCCCCCCTTGCCTTCGCTGTAGGTCTCGCCGCGAGCCTGCCAGCCTGGCAATACTGCCTGGCACTGGTTGTACCATCCTCCAGACTTCTCGAGCTTCCAGTCATAGACCCATCCTCCGCAGGTCGCACAGAACTTCTACGAGCTGCGCCACCGCCACATGCCGCGCGCGCTCCCGTCCCTGGAATGAATGAGGGTGCCGACCGCCGCGGTGAGCGACGGGGTCGATGGCCCCTGAAAGCAACCTGGGTCTTGCTGCGGACTAGCAGCTTCCGTGCTGGCACGAGGGCGCGAAAGCCCTCAGGTGCAAACATATTGGGCCAAATGGCTACGGAGAAGGAGGAAGAGGAGGGAGAGGAGGAGAACGAGGAGGAGAGAGAGGAGAAGGAGGAGGAGGAGGAGGAGGAGGAGGGAGACGAGGAGGAGGAGGGGAGGAAGGGGGGGAGAGGCAGCAACGGGGAGAGGGCTCATGGAGGCTCGAGTTACACGAGTAGGAGGTTGTTGTGCGCGTCTCAGTCTCTGTTCGGCCTCCACGATGCTGCGATGCGCCACGTGGCCACAGCTGGATCAGTCTCGAAACGATGGCCAGAACGCACCTCAGAAGACGTCGCGTCGCAAAGAAAAACGATGTTTAACATAAAACGACACACACGCGCAACACACACACACACACACACACACACACACACACACACACACACACACACACACACACACACACACACACACACACACACACACACGCGCACACACACACACACACACACACACACACACACACACACACACACACAACATACACACAACAACATACATACATACATACATACATACATACATACATACATAAATACATACATACATACATACATACATACATACATACATACATACATACATACATACATACATACATACATACATACATACATACACATACATACATACATATACATACATACATACATATACATACATATATACACACACATACATACATACATACATACATACATACATACATACATACACACATACATACCTACCTACCTACCTACCTACCTACCTACCTACCTACCTACCTACCTACATACATACATACATACATACATACATACATACATACACACACATACCTACCTACCTACCTACCTACCTACCTACCTACCTACCTACCTACCTACCTACATACATACATACATACATACATGCATACATACATACATGCATGCATGCATGCATGCATGCATGCATACATACATACATACATACATACATACATACATACATACATACACACACTGAAAAACGTATATCGGAGGCTGGGGGGTGAGATCGAAATTGAACGGAGAGCCCCCCACCCAGAAATCGGTTTCGGTTTCGGGCTCGTGCCGTGATGCGGGCGAGGCGAAGCTCCATGGGCGGGCGAGAGGAACGACCCCGCCGTGGCCAGGGCGCGGCAAGGCAGAAGACCGCCCCTCCGGTGGGCCGGCGTGGCCAGGAGGGGTGTCCCGCCGTGGTGTCCCGCCTCGGTGTCCCGTCGGTGTCCCGTCGGTGTCCGCGGCGGTGGCTGGAAATGTCCCGTCGGGGCTCCGTCGGTGTCCCGTCCGTGTCCCGTCGGTGTACGGTCTGGGTCCCATGGGTGCCCTGTCGGTGTCCCGTTGGTGTCCCGCCGTGGGTGTCCTGTCGGTGTCATGCTGGTGTCCCGTTAGTGTCCTGTCCGTGAGATCGCCAGAATGAGATGGATCGAGTGAGATAGGTAGAGTGAGATCGATAATGAGATCGATGGTGAGATCATTGAGTGAGACGTTGGTTCCGTCCCCGCACACACACACACACACAAACACTTTATCACCCCAAGGGTGGTGGTATAGGTCTAACATAAACAATGAAAACTCAACACCAACAAACAAAAAATATTCACTGCGTGGAGCTCCCCATATGTGCATCTACTCGCATGGACCTGTCCGCCGTGAATGTCTAGGCGCAAGAGCTTTCGAATATTAACGGGCTTCAGTTGTGACGGTCTGGACATCAATCTAACTGCGAATGAATTGGAGTGTGAATGAGCCTCAGTAGTACGAGCGCGTCTCTGTGCATGAGCCTGGGGCCTCCTGGGGCCTCCTGAAACCTACTGGGGCTTCCTGGGGTCTCCAGGAGCCTCTTGGGACCTCCTGGGACCTCCTAGGAAGGTTTCGTGCCCCAGGAGAGGCGCAATCTATAGCAACAGACGTACATAAAACATTGCGGATTAGAGCCACAGGAGAAGGGCAATATATAGGAACACGCGTAAAACACCAAGGACTCGTGCCCCAGGAGAGGCCCAATACATAGGAACATGAGTAAAACATTTAGGATTGTGCACACAGGAGAAGGACCATCTATAGAGACATACGTAGAACATCAAAGAATCGTGCTCCAGGTGAGGCCCAATCGATAGGAGCATACGTAAAACACATGGGATTGGAGCCACTCCTGTTGCCTTCTGAGGCCTCCTGCTCCTGGGGCCTCTCGGGGCCTCCTGTTGCCTTCCGAGGCCTCCTGGCGCTTCCTGTTGCCTCCTGGGGCCTCCTGTGGTTGCCTGAGGCCTTCTGGAGCTTCCTGGGGCCTCCTGGAGCCTCTTGGGACATCCTGTGGCCTCTTGAGTCTTTCTGTTGCCTCCTGATGCCTCCTGGGACCTCATGTGGTCTCCTGGGGCCTCCTGGAGCCTGTTGGAGCCTCCTGTGGCATCCTGAGAAGAATCTGCGCCCACGAGCCTGGCCACCAAAACAAGCAAACCGATCGAGACATCCTCAAAATCTGGCCCACCTGGGGGGTGAAAATGAGCGCCTCGCTCGAGACATCCTCCAAATCTGCTCCGAAAGCGAAGGTTGGGCCCAGAAACAGCAAACCGCCTGAGACATCCCCACAAAATGGCCGCGAACGAGCCCGTGCAACCACCCCTGGCGGCTCCCCTTAGGGGTGCTGAAACCAGCGCCCCGCTGAGACATCCTCACAATCTGCTCCCAAGCGAAGGATGTTGGGCCCAGAAACAGCAAACCGCCTGAGACATCCCCACAAAATGGCCGCGAACGAGCCCGTGCAACCACCCCTGGCGGCTCCCCTTAGGGGTGCTGAAATGAGCGCCTCGCTCGAGACATCCTCCAAATCTGCTCCGAAAGCGAAGGATGTTGGGCACAGAAACAGGCAAACCGCCTGAGACATCCCCACAAAATGGCCGCGAACGAGCCCGTGCAACCACCCCTGGCGGCTCCCCTTAGGGGTGCTGAAATGAGCGCCTCGCTCGAGACATCCTCCAATCTGCTCCCAAAGCGAAGGATGTTGGGCCCAGAAACAGGCAAACCGCCTGAGACATCCCCACAAAATGGCCGCGAACGAGCCCGTGCAACCACCCCTGGCGGCTCCCCTTAGGGGTGCTGAAACCAGCGCCCCGCCTGAGACATCCTCACAATCTGCTCTCCAAGCGAAGGATGTTGAGCCCAGAAATACTGTGTATGAGTAAGTCTGGGTATGAGTGAGTCTGTGTATGAGTACGTCTGGGTGTGAGTAAGTCTGTGTATGAGTAAGTCTGTGTATGAGTATGTCTGAGTGTGAGTAAGTCTGAGTATGAGTAGGTCTGAGTATGAGTAAATATGAGTATGAGTAAGTCTGTGTATGAGTAAGTCTGAGTATGAGCAAGTGTGAGTATGAGTAAGTCCGACAGGAGGGGAGGAGAAAAGAGGAGGAGGAGGAAGGAGGAGGAGTAGGAGGCGTCCAAGTAATAACAAGAACCCCATCTTAGGATATGGGGAACAATGAAAGCAAAAAGCACAAAGAGATTTGTTTTGGCCGTTTTCGGCTCTGGGGGGGGGCTTACGACCATCGCGACTGAGGCGGGGAACGAGGAAGGAGGAGGAAAGTCGCCGATTTCTCAACTGACCCTCCTCTGGGACTCCCTTCTCCTGCCCCCTCGGCTACACGCAAGAGCGGCCTTGGGCATGAGTGGCCTTTGGTGCGCTGCTTAAGGGGGCAGCGGGGAGCCAGATCCAAGCGAGCATGCCAGCGCCGGGGGCGAGGGGGGCGGGGCACCCCTGTGGGCCCGCACCGAAGGTCGCTCCGGTAAAGGGTCACTCTGGTGCGTAGCCGACGCCCGACATGCGATGTCTTGACTCTTTCGATACGCGGTCCACAGCTGTCCCGACCTGGACGGTTTCCCGCGGGGCCGTAGGCGACCCGAGGAGGGCAGGGCGAGAAGGAGGAGGAGGGGGAGGAGGAGGAGGAGGAGGAGGAGGAGGAGGAGGAGGAGGAGGAGGA